CACCGCCAACCTGTGCCCCCTGCTGCCCTTGACTCCCCCGGGGTGGACACCGCTGGTACCGCTAGCACAGGCCCCCAGCTGAAGTCTATATTATATAATAAAAAAATTAAAAAAAAACATTGTTGACGCAAGCTGATTGAACCCAAGTGACAACCGCAGCCCAAGTTCCTGTACCTCACCGCAAAGACAACAGCCGTAAAGTGGCACTCCACTGTCCAACCGCAGGTCACAACGGAATGACACAGGCCAACATTAATACTGTTCTTTACTTCAAGTAACCACGCTCTCATGGTACCGATAGCCGGAACCGAAGCCCATCTAGGGGCTATAGTTTTTACCCCTCCCATGTTCATACCCTCACAGTATGACCCCACTACACCCTTTCCACCCCCTCCCCCTTCGACACTACTCCAAGAGACAGTTGCACCCATCGAACAAGAAGGTGACACACACCTGAACAAACTGACAACCTCTGGGCCCACCAATAGCCAAGCGCAACTCGCCCTCACCACCACTAAACACACAACTCAGGCCCACACCATTGCCCAGTATCGCGAGGGCAAACCCCAAGCACTATCAGCACCAAGCTCAGCCTACCCCATACGAAGATCACATAAACGAACTCTAGCGATTCAAGCAACCGACCTAAAGTATGAAAATACAAAGCCACAATGTTAGAGGGTTGAATACCCCATATAAACGACATTGCCTTTTTAGAGACCTTAAAAGAGACCAGCCTGACATAGTCTGTCTTCAAGAAACACATTTTAAAACACCACCGACCCTAAAACCATCCTTGTACCCACACCAATACCACGCTACGGCAGGGACAAAAACGAGAGGGACATCAATACTGATTAGCAACACAGTATCCTTCCAGCACCACCACTCACAGACAGACAAGGAAGGAAGGTACACAATAATAGTATGCACAATCAATAACACTAAATATACCCTAGCAAACATATATGCCCCGAACACGAAGCAAAGAGATTTCCTACACAGAATCTTATCCATACTACGACCAATACAGGAGGGTATCCTGGTTTTATGTGGGGACTTTAACCACATCATAGATCCCAAAAACGACACAACGTCCCATGCAGGCAGAGTGGTGCAAACAAACCACCGCAGGACTTGCGCATCATACCTTAAATTATTAGACAACAATAAACTATATGACGTATGGCGAGTCCTACACCCCCAAGAAAGGGATTACACGTATCACTCACTTACGCACAATACGTACACTAGAATAGACAGAGTCCATATGGAAAGCACGCACCTGGACCAGGTTCTAGACTGTTCTATCGGCCAAATCACATGGTCGGACCATGCCCCACTGACACTGACCCTCAAAGACAACTACGACTACAAACACAAGAGCCCCTGGAGACTCAATGAATCACTGCTGACAGACATACCCTTTTCCAACCAACTAGAGGAAGCCATAACAGAATACTTCACGCTCAACGACACAGGAGACACATCAGCATGTTCCCTATGGCAGGCACACAAGGCAGTGGTTAGAGGGATCTTGCTAAAACGAGCAGCATCTCTGAAACAAGTTAACCAAACCCAATGGCTAAATTGGAACAAACAATTAATAGACCTCACAAACAAAAACAAAACGCATCCCACAGCTGCAACACGGAAAAGCATCGTAGAAGTTGCAGACAAAATTAGACTACATACGCTGCAACGAGTAAGCTTCAACTTACGCAGACTCAAAGCAACATATTATGCCCAGGGAAATAGAGCAAGCAAAGTGTTGGCTGCCCGCATAAAGCGAGCAGAAACGAACGCGAAAATATCACACCTATACACACATGACAACACAAAAGTGATTTCCCCCATAGATATTAGCAATGCCTTTGCAAACTACTATAACAACCTCTACAACTTGGCACAGTCCGAGCGAACACCCGACCCGACAGAACATGACATACAGTCCTACCTGCAAGATATCCCCCTACCCACGCTAACGAGAGAGCAAACTACCTCTCTGCAAACCCTAATCACTTCAGACGAAGTGAAAGATGCAATACACACCTTACCTAAAAATAAAGCACCGGGCCCGGATGGCTTCACAAACAGGTACTATAAAAGATTCGCGACCGTTTTAGCCCCACACTTGGCATCCCTCTTTAACTCCGCCACCCAAACCAAATCACTACCAGAAGATCTATTGCTTGCCCACATCGTCACCCTACCAAAACCAGGGAAGCCCCCAACACACTGCCCAAACTTCAGACCAATATCCCTCCTCAATACGGACGCCAAATTATACGCCAAAATATATGCCCGGCGACTGAGCTCACTACTCCCATCTCTCATTCACAACGACCAAGTGGGATTTGTAGCGGGGAGGCAGGGAACGGACAATACCCGGAAGGTTTTGGACCTAATACACAGCATAAGACGGAAGGGGACAGGTAGCCTACTAATGTCCTTAGATGCGGAGAAAGCCTTCGACAGACTAAATTGGCGCTTCCTGAAGGTGGTACTAATGAAATATGGCTTTCCCTCCCAATTCACAGACACAGTAGAGGCTCTATACAGCTGCCCCACGGCTAAAGTCCTCAACGCAGGATTCTGCTCGGACAAATTCAAAATCTCTAATGGCTCCCGCCAGGGTTGTCCGCTTTCCCCGCTGCTCTACGTCCTGGCATTGGAACCACTGGCTGCCAAGATCAGGATGGAATCAGCAATCCATGGGGTAACACTACGTCAGAAAGAATACAAATTAAGCCTATTCGCTGATGATATATTCCTCACTCTAACGCAACCACACATATCCCTACCTAACCTTATGCACCACATCACGGAATACGGACGAGTGTCATATTATAAGCTGAACGTCACTAAGACACAGGCACTAAGTATCAATCTCCCCACAACACAACTGACGAACCTCAAGAGCTCGTTCCCCCTAGACTGGAGGGTTGATCACCTCACCTTCTTGGGAACTAAAATGACCAAAAACCCTATGTCTCTCTTCAAGACGAACTACCAGCCATTGTTAGAAACCTTTAAATCCCTACTGAGCTCCTGGGAGGGGAAATACTTGTCCTGGGTGGGGCGGATCGCGGCCATAAAAATGTCACTGTTACCCAAACTCCAATACCTATACAGAAAACTACAAATTTCAGTACCAGACAAGTACATCAAAGCACTCACAAAACTGCTAACGCACTTCACATGGCAAAACAAAAAACCCAGAGTAGCGACCAACCTATTACAAAGGCCGATAAACCAGGGCGGACTAGGCTTCCCAGACCTAAAAGCATATTGTAAAGCGGCGACGTTGATGCTAGTGCCACAATTTCGACAACATCCCACAGCCCCACAGTGGCTGGAAATAGAAAACAGCTGGGCCCACCCAAAGACACTACACTCCATCCTGTGGACACCCAAATCACATAGGACAGACACTAGCCACCTTCTACCCACGACTCAATATACCCTACACGTATGGGATTCCACAAAGCACCTAATGACGCGATACCACCCACTGCCTTTGGCAGCCCCAACCAGCACCCTAGAACATGTAATACCGAACCTGAACATACAACCATGGCTACAGATGGGCATCCAAGAAATAGGGCAGTTATACAATGACAAGGGGTTGAAACTATTTCCGGACCTACAACAAGAATTTCAACTACCCCACAGACTAGGCTTCGCATACCTCCAAATTAAATCTTACTTAACCAAAAACAAACTTAACGAACAGGCTGCTGCAGCCACAAGCCCGATGACCGAATTCGAACAGATATGCACACACAGAAAACCAATGAAAAAACTAATCTCCATCAGTTACAAAGCACTGACCCAAGCGTTAGACCAGGGCAAAGAAACACACATTCAATCCTGGCATGGAGAATTAGGCAGAATAATCCCACTGGCAGACTGGATTAAGGCTTACTCCTCGTACAAAGGTGTAACATCATGCGCTACTCATATTGAGATGCAGCGCAAACTGTTATACCGTTGGTATTTAGTACCATCCAGACTCCACCAGATGTGGCCGCGATCCTCCGACACCTGCTGGAGATGTGGCCAGAGTAAAGGCACCATGTCTCACGTCTGGTGGACATGCCCCACCATCAAACCCTATTGGCAGGAGGTGCAAACAATCATAAATGCCACCACACAAACACAAATCTCACTGACACTGGAATTATGCATCCTATTCATCCCACCAGACTCACTTACTAAAGATATGTGGGCAGCAACATACCACATCCTTATGTCCGCAGTCACATGCATTGCTAGGCTATGGAAACAAACGGCAATCCCATCACGGGAAGCTCTCATAAACCAAATAAAACTGAACTGGGCCTACGAGACAGTATATGCACGACAATTTGGAGGAAAGAAACACATGATTCTAGCTCACAACAGGTGGGACGACTTTCTACGATCAGAAGGACTACAAAAAGAACCGACATAACCAACGCAACTAGTCTCCCCCCCCCAAGTTTCCCCCCCCCCCTCCACTCCACAACCGCCCCCTATCCTACCCACTCGTTTCCCCGAAAAGTACGATGCTTGACAATGACGCGCACAGAACACCCGACCACTTGTGGCCGTGGGTAACCTTGCACAGATATGCACGATACACCCCTGCACGACCACCTACAGTCCTGCACCCTCTAGAGGGGCAGGGGAGAATAAATACGAATAAACACGAATGTATAATGTCTGTAATACCTAACAACGGCATGGGAGACCGGGTGATCTGCATATGATGTACATTGAATGTCATGACTGTATATCAAGCATTGTACAATAAAAATTGTCAAATTCAAAAAAAAAAAAAAAATATGGTGAAACTTTAAAAAAACAATATTTTTCTAACTTTGACCCCCATAATCTGTTACGCATCTACAACTGCCAAAAGGCACCCGTGCTAAATAGTTTCTAAATTATGTCCTGAGTTTAGAAATAACTATTGTTAACATGCTCTTAGCTTTTTGTGTTTGCAAGTTATAGGGCTACAAGTACAAGTAGGACATTGCTGTTTCAAAAGATATATTTTAAAAATGTATCAATAGTGACATTGTAACACTGTTATCTGTCATAAATCTCTGAATCACACCTCACATGTTCCTTTTTTTTTTTTTTAAGTAGACAACCCAGGGTATTCAATATGTCCAGTCTTTTTTAGTAGCCAATTAGTCACAAACACTGGCAAAAGTTAGCATTTTTATTTCTTTGTGTGTTAAAAATGCAAAAAAACTAGTCTGAAGGCTAGCTTTGGCCAGTGTTTGTGACTACATGGCTACTAAAAAAGACTGGACATACCCCATATTGAATACCCTGGGTTGTCTTCTTTTGCAAATGGTATGCCATCATGGGGGTAATTCTCATCCCTGGGCTAGCAGACACTCTCAAAGGCAACATAACCAGTCTGGCAAATTTAAATGTGGAAAAATGGAAAATGAAGCCTTATATTTGACCCTGTAACTATAAAAAACACTATAAAACCTATGCATGAGGGGGTACTGTTATACTAAGGAGACTTTGCTGAATACAAATATTAGTGTTTCAAAACAGTAAAACGTATCACAACAATATCAGTGAAAGTGCCGTTTGTGTGTGAAAAATGCAAAAAATTTCACTTTCACTGACAATATCATCGCTGTGATATGTTTTACTGTTTTGAATCACTAATATTTGTGTTCAGCGAAGTCTCCCGAGTAAAACAATACCCCCAATGTACAGGTTTAAGG